GGTAACTTCAGCACCCACAAGGGCAATGGGTTTTCAGTTGTCCAGCAGGCATTGCCCCCTAGCACACCAGCACAAGGCACGGCAGCCAGCCAGGACAGGCAGCGCACCGAACACGGCGCCATTGACACAAACGGCGTCATAAAGCAGAACCAGCCCAGGGGGTCTGGGCAGCTGCCACAGAGCCACGGAGTGACAGTCACAGAGTCACACCCAGCAGTGCCACACAGCACCTGCTGCACCAACAGGACATTCCACGCCTGCCTTGGAGCCCCTCACTTCCCCCCTGACTGGTGGGGAGAAGTTTTCCCTTTTCTCTGCCCCTTCAGGTATCACTGCAGTCCATGGGTGCCACCAGCTCTGCTTTATTAGCATCTATTAACTTTTATTGTCCTGCATTTCAGGCTAGCTGACCTGCCTTTGTGTAACAAGGCTCATACCCTAAAACCTAGGTTTGACTACAACTTTTCTGGCCAGGTGAACCATTATCAAGTGTCCTTGAGAAAATAAAGTTGTTCTCACATCTACAGATTTGGGGCCTTTTTTATATTAAATATTTTCTTAATACATTTAATTTCTATAGCAAACTCTATTCTACAGGTTGCAGGAGGCTGTCTCTTCTCCATAAGTTTGAAGTAGAAATCTTTAGATTCAAATCAGTAGATTAAACTTCAAGATGCGAGGTCTGAATTGGAACTGTACACAAAATGTTTTTTCAAGCAAAACAGTAGAAAATTACTCAAAGCCTCTCAGTGGATGTTCTGGCAAATAATACAGTTCATATGGATTCAGAAGTCCACAGTTTCCCTCCTGTCCAGAAGGCCAAAGGCCTTGACAACTGAGTACAACACTGAACAAGTGCATCCTGATTTTTCAAAAATTTCCAGCATTTTAACAAAGGCAAATGAAGCATTACAGACTCCTTGTTAATGATGGGCAATATCAGGGCCTCTCTAAGCCTGTGGTCAGGGACAATAACCTGTAAGAGGGTCTGTTGATAGCTACAGTTCTGCCATCGAGCCTCACCTGGCTTTAAAGGGGTGACAAAGGACTTAGAGGGTAATTTGCGTTTTTTCCACTCTGATGAAGAACTGAGCTCGTTTTAGAAGCTAGAAGAGCTACTGCTTCTCCAACAGTGCTCTCCTGACACTGGTTCTAAGCAACAATGTCAGAAAGAACAATTCCTTTGGAATCCAGAGATAACAGATTTTTGGCAGCTGATGCTACCAGCCAAATCAGGCTATATAGAGATGTGATCATTCTTTTGTATAAAATCTACTGTGTTAGCAACAAGTAGTGACACAGACTGCTGTACTTGGATACAGTCTCAGGAGATTTCATTCAGGGATTCGCAATATTCTAGCAGAAAATTGCATCAGTTTGAACAAAAAACTGAACACAGAACTGCAGATATATTGTGAGTTCAGTACCTAAGGCCTGCCCAGCACTATACAAGGTCAACAACCAGAGTATGCAACATCAAACACAATGAACAATGAGGTAAATCTTAAAAGTTTACTTTTAAAAGCTCACCTGAAGGTTAACCACACATTCACATTTCTCCTTAGAAGTTTATTTCCTCATATTGCTGTCATGGTTCAGGAATGGTACTCCCCAGTTTAGTGTTTCCCACTGAAACTCCAAACTACACACCACTTGCTCACCCACCCCCTTTCCCCCTTCTTCCCTCTCAGAGGATTTGAAAGGAGAATTGGAGCCAAAAAAGGCAAAGATCATGGGCTGAGATAAGAAATATTTACTAGAAACAGTAATGAGATAAGAAAATCAACAATATTAATAATGAAAGTACAAAAGGGAAAGTGTGGAGCTCAACCTGACTGCAGTCACACCACCCAAAATTGTTTCTTTTTAGAACATCATCCTAATAAAGCAGCAAAATGCTTAATTTCTCACTAAGCTTATGGCAACACTTTTAAAAGCAAATGCAACAAAAAGCATAACGTAGTCAGCTGGTCCTTCAGAAATGCTGAAAAAAGCCCAAATCACCAAAAACCCAAACACAAAACCAACCCCTCCTCCCCTCCCTTCCCACTAAAACAAAGAGCTTCTATATTTTGGCTAAATAGGAATGAAGTGCCACAGTGTGTGCTGGCATATTTGCAGTCTTAAATAGAGTGGCAGATTTTTCTCTTAAATAAGAGAAAACAAGAATTCAGGGTAAGTATGACCAAATGTAAATGAAGGGAATCAAACCTAGACTGACAGAAATTACAAAAAAAAATACCTAATAAAATCCCATAGCTCTAGACAGAGCAATCCATCCATACATCAGATGGGTATTGCTCAGCCACCAGCGCTCTGCCATGACCACAGAGCTTTTCAGATGTTACCACATTCACAGAACTAAGTAAAGCTAAAATTTCAATATAATGAAAATTTATCCAAAAAAGTACAGATTTGCTTAATTACCCAAGTGAGAAGGGAATTGACAGAAACTAACACCACTCCCACCTGAAGGACACAGAAGAACCTGCCAGCTGGTTATAGGCAAAAGTCATGCTGTCCCACCATTTCTCCTGGTGAATCTGCACCTGCCAGCACAGGATTGCTGACAGTGGAACACCTCACCCACTAAAATTCTCGTTTTTCATTATTCAGATAAACCCTCATACCATCCCTCACAGCACCACAATCATTCCATCAGGGAAGTTTCACCAGCACCCGTGGGCAGCAGTAAAAGAAACTGGGGGAAGAAAGTATAAAGAAACTTGAAAGGTTGTCTAAGGCACTGTGGATATTGTGTTCCCTACCAATATTGGTGGCAATATAGCCTAGAATTACACTGCAAGCCTTGAACATCTTGGCAATCAGGGAGATGAATAATTTATGACAGACAGTTTGAGTTCTGAACTGAGGAGAGTGGAGGTGCCTGTTTTCTGCAGTGGCTTCCTCAGGAAGTCTCTCCCTGCTTCTCTGCTGGGGCATTGCAAGTGGCAATACCAGCACTGCCACAGCTAGAAACATCACCTTGGCATTATTTCACAAACCTTCACCAGACTTTAATCAAAGTCAGTGGTGCCATTCCATGTCAGCTATTTTCTCCAGATTGTTTGACCTGGCAGCTTCCACATCAAACTATTTCAAAGAACAAAGCCAGTGGAGGAGGAGGGCAGGACGTTTTGTCCATGTCAAAATCTGGTGATCTCTGAATCCAACCCATACTTCAAAGTGGTGAGCCTGACATCTGGCCAAGGGCTTGGAATTAAGGATGAGCCTCTTTGCCCCAGCTTTCACACTGCAGCATGCCTCAAGCTACAATGGTGTTTATGAACTCCGTGTGAGAAGGAAAATCAGCGTCTGTGAGCCCCACAGGGTTGTCAGAAATCTGCAACAGATTTGCCACCCCAAACCCAGTCTTGAATGGCTCTGCTTCAGTTCTGCACAGGAGCAGATCTGCTCTCCAAAGGCAGTGCAGCAAATGGACACCTGACCCCTGGCAGCAGAAAGAGAGTATCCCAATCACACTCACTGATCTAGCTGCTGGCTCCGCTGATGAGATAAAAAGCCAGAGGGACAATCATTACTTTATATTCTAATTACCTGCCTGACAAAAGGCACTGCATTTCCCCAAATTCCCACTCGGCCTCAGCTCTACAAAGTTAAATCATTCTTACACATTTTCCAGAGGTCAAGTATTCAAAGCAGCACTTGACAAATCGGGTCATAGAAGTACACACCTTATTTTTCTTGGCTAAAATTCATCAACTAGAATCTAAGGATGCCAAACAGGTGTTTATACTGTAAGGGGACATAGTTTTTTACTTCTCCTCATTATTCATGCACAGTCCCAAGGCAAATTTATAGCAAGGTTTTAAAAATAGCATTAATAATCTTAGGGGCTGCACTAAGACCCTAATTAAGAGGGTATATGAATGTTTCCTGCTTGCATGTGAGATTATAGATTTAAGCTACACAGTCTCAAGGCTCCTGAAAGGAATTAATTTTATTAACAGTGGTTTGGGAAAGATGGCTGTTATTCTTGCTTTTCTACAAGGTGTTGAGACACCAAGAGAAATTTTTACTATTTTGACTGTGACCTGTTAATCCATGTTTAGGACTTGGCTTCTCAGTGGGCATTGAAAGTCACAGTGTGACTGCCCTGGTCCTGGTGGCTGGACACACTCACCACCTCTGAAAGTGCCTTCCAAGGAGTGAGGCATTGAGGAAAGGAGGAGAAACATGCAAAGGCTTTGCTGAGGTGAGATTTCCAGCTCACACAGGAGCGCCTCAGCAGCAGCAAGAGTTGGGTTTCCAGCAATGATGGAAATGATGGCTGCTTCAGCTGCAAGACCAGCCCTTCATGCAATATTGCTGTTCCCTGTCCACTGCTCACCTGGCAAATTCAGTAACAAAACAGGATAGATTTATCAAACTACCACACAGCCGTGGTTCACCTGCAGGGGGAGTCCTCCTGCAAGCTGCAGACACAGGGATCACAGCCAGTTTTGGAGCAGGTTCTTGCAGGGTCCTCCTGCTGGAAATGGCGAGTGCTGGCACCACTGGGGCTGTGGGAGCAGAGCCTGCCACTGCCAGCTACACCTGCCCTTTTCCGAGAGCCATCAACTAAAACAAAAGTTGATGAAAAAAAGTCCAAGCAAGAAATAAAGGTTATGATTCTAACCCCAAGTTTCTATCATCGGTCCAAAGCACAACTTTTGCTCTGACAGATAAGCCTTGAGAAATCATAAAAAGTGCACCACTGCTGAAAAGTTGCAGAGTTGAAAGGGAAATTTAGCGAGAGCTTTCTCCTCTGCCCATAGCAAGGCAGCAAAAGGCACCTGCAGCTTTGCAGCACAAGTTGCAGGTTGAATCAAGGTTTAACTCAGGTTTAAGAGTCCTCTCTTCAGAAGTTACCACACATCAGTGAAATAAGTTCGTGTTTCTTTTGGGGGATAAAGAGAATCTTCTCACTGGAAACAATTGCCATTTAACAAGTAGCCTAGAAAACTGTTAACCTGATTTAACTGAACTGACAACTCGTTCTTACCAGAAGCAATTGCACGCTCCCACAGTGACCAAAGCTTTCCTGGCAGAGCTCTCTCTCTGGATTTATCATTAACATCTACATCCTAACACTGCTAAATAATTCAGTAGAGCATTTAGCCTCGTGTCCTTGCCTCTCTACTCAGAAAACACTTTTCTTTTCTGTATGTTTCAGCAACAGGGAACAAAAACCTGCCTGGATTGTGCTTCCACCTTGTGCTGTGTAACTGAGGGGGGCACCTCAGGTACCCTTTCACTCTCAGCATAGAAGTGTGGGGCTTGTTTCTTTTATTTTGTTGGAAATAGTGTTTATTAGATAACCAAATATAGAGCATTATTTATCCACATGGAGTCACGACCATGTGGGCTTAGATTCACATGCAAATTCCCCTTTTAATAATCCTAATGCAGGGAGTGCTCCAATCAGAGCGCTATCAGCCCCAGCTCCCAGATACCTGATGCCAGCTTTGCTGGTAATGTAGGCCACGGAAGCAAATCCAGAGAGATTGAGTTGGAAGTGGAGAGAGGCTCTGAGATCTATTTGCTTGGCTTCCTGACGACAAGGGGGTGTCTGAGTTCTTTTTTCCTTTCCGGCTGGCAGGGGGATGCCGCTGGAGAGGGATCATTAGCTGCGAGCAGCCCGCCTGGGTCCAGGCTGGAGGCGGAGACGCGGCGCCCGCAGCCAGCCAAGGTGGAGGCACGAAGGCAGAAGAGCAGGTCAATGAAAGCATGAGGTGGCTCCTGGGCAGCAGCTTGAAACACTTTGGACATGCTGACAGGGGGAACTATGACTGGCTAAACAGTGAACCAGGTGGGCCACTTCTGGAAACAGAGCTTCAGGTCTGTACCCTGCTCATCCCTGTGGCATGTCCCGTGAGTTTGCATGTGTGTGTATGTCTGTGTCACGCCTCAGTGTGCAGTGCAGGGTAAATCCCTGGGCATTGGGACCTACCAAAGCAGTGACGATCAATTACAGAGAGCCGGAGCATTTCTTTATTGCTGCTAAGTCTTTTTAAACACATTTGCGAAGGAGAAAAACATTAGATGGAAAAATTTTGCTGGGGTGGCAGGTAAGGAAGTTTAATTACTTCTTTTAAGCATAAGGGACCCTCGATTTCCTGTCTGTTAAAGGCATGTTTACGCTCTGCATCTGGAGCCTCTCTGCAGATGCTGTGAGTCCCGCGCAGGCAGTGATGAACTCTTGTTCCCTAAGCTGGGCGCTGATTACTTCTGCCAGAGAGGATCACATGCAGCCGGGGGGAGGGAAGCAGCCCCAGAGATGAAAACACAGCCTGCTTTCTGGCTTTGTCTGGGACACAAGAGGGTTTCTCTGATCAAAAATAGTAATTTCAGGTGCCTGTAGCTCCACAGTAATTGTCCGAAGCATGTTGCGTTAGCAAATGAACTGGCTACATTACTCGGCTGATATATGCAAAGTGTACTGTTGCAAAATAAATGGGGGTAGGAGTGTGTGTGAGTGTGAAAACAAGACAAAAAGTTGTGTTTAAATGTCACCATGATTTTGTGAAAGTCTGCCTCACTGGCAACATTTCCAGAGTTAGAACAGCAATGGCAATGTCTTCACACCTCGAGACTTGCTTTTATCTGACAGTGGGAAACAAACAGCATCACTAGAGTCACATTCCAACAAGTATTTGAAAATTCTGTGTAAATCCAGGCTCACTTTTAAATTACGTGTCATTACTAATGGATACAAAGCCATGTAATAATATTTTTCTGTTTGCCAGAGTTATGTGTTTTTGCTTTTTACAAGCAATAATGAATCGGCTTCAAGGATGAGGATAGAGTTTGGAAAAGAACCTAAGGGGGGGGACCACACCCTAATGACTTCAAAACAGACTTTGTTCCAAATCCACTTAAAACATTTCAGAAGTATTGGTTTCCTGCTTCAACTTCAAAAGATACTAGTATAAATATGGGCTGTATTAGCAAAAATAATTTCAATGGAGTTCTAAGCATGCTAGCAAATCATTAAGAACATAATAAATCTTACCATAACTCAATCACTTCAATTTATTTCAGTAAGCAAAATAAACTTTCATTTTTCCATCCTCACACAAAAGTTTCCCTTAAACCTCACGTTTTGCCTTATGAGTCACTCCCTCCCAAGGCAGGTACTATCCGCCTTTTATCCAGACACACAGCTCAGCTCCAAGCCCATTCCTTTACTCCTCATGGATATCCCACACAATTCAGCCACACTCTGCCTTTCATTCCTTTTCCAGCAGGCACGAGTGAAAGCTCATCTCAGCTGATATGGGTCACATAATCTGTAAGCTGGCAACTGTAGATGCTCAGCATGTTAACAAAACATTGGCAGGCAGATTACTAATGAAAGGCTTTTCTCCTTCCAGTGTGTGCTCAGTGGCTGGGGGAAACTGACCTTCTGCTTCAGTCCCTACAAATAAATAAATGAAAGCAGGAGAATAAGCAATGTCCAAACTACATCCTACTAAGAATCAGTTCTGGTAAAACAGGATTTTTTTAGAAATATGATCTCTTTTATTTCCATGCTCTTTTCTGCCTTTCTCTATTTTAAAAAGGGTATTTTCCCACATTTATGTGTCTGTAACTTGTTTCATGCTGGAAGTCAGATCCTTATTTTTGTCACTTACAAACATGACAATAGATGCTTGTGATGACACAGGCAGAGCACGCTGACCTCCAATGAAGCAGCATCAAACAAAACCAGTAAATTAATAATTCCATCAGTCACTCCATATACCTGGTGTAGAAACTTCCAGATATAAAACAGTAAAGGATTTTACCTTAAAAATATTCTGCAGTTGTATTGCTTCCAATTAAGGAAGATTGAGTTTGAATTCTAGAAAATTTTATTTTCCAGTTCTGGCAGCTATTCCTGATACCTATACAGAGTGGTTACTTTTCTAGTTTTAGAGCTTCAGCTGCAGAAGTTAGTTTTAAGTCAGTTTATAACAAGTTTTAGTTTGGCATATCAGAAATTTTTTTTAAGTGACCTTTGATACATTGTATTAAAATTATCCCCAGTTTTAGTGTAATTTTTAAAATGCCTATTAGATTTTTCAAGTCTTTATGTTAAGATCTTTGCAACATTCTTCAGTAGCCCTTTAGGCAGTCATTGCAGAAATGGAAACAAAAGCACAATAGAAAAAGAGGGATTAATATTGATCAACTGTCTCTAACACCTTTGATATATTTATACTGGTATACATACAAGAAGTCCATCACCATCCTTTAGGAACTACATCTCAAAGTAAAATCAGTCCATGTAATGTTTGGCAGGAGGCAGCATCCAAATGGATACATAAATCCCTGTTCAGGTCCAGGGCATCTGTGGGGCAGTAGTTCTAAAAACTATTTCAGCTCAAATAATACACTAAGTAGCCTAAAAATTACTTCACCCAGATAGGAAAGTCTCAACATTAGCTGTGTTTAAACAGCTGTGAGCACTCTGAAGCACAGCCTGAGCAATACCAATCTTTATTGTCACCTGTGAGCATGCAGAAAAAGCATGAAGCTGAGTCAGGGAGGGTTTAGGTTAGATATGAGGAAAGATTATTCACTCAGAGGGTGGTTGGGCACTGGAACAGCCTCCCCAGGGCAGTGGTGACAGCACCAATCCTGACAGAGTTCAAAAATCATTTGGACAATGCTCTAAGGCACATGGTGTGGCTCTTGGGGTGTCCTGCACAGGGCCAGGAGTTGAGATCAATGATCCTGATGAGTCCCCTCTAACTCAGCATATTTTATAATTCTATAATATTGCCTAATTCTTAATCCTATCTGCTTTACATGCCTCTAAGTTGCAGATCATAGTAAAAGTCACTTACTGTTCTTCAACAACTATACAGTAGTTGTGAAACAAAAGAACAAACTAAACAAATTTTTTATGTCTTCTTTTGCACACATTACTGAATAGGTAGCCACCAGGCACTGGTTACTGTGGTTATTTTGAAATAGAATAGGATAAAATAGGAGTAGATCAGTTGGAAGGGGTCTGCAATGAAAATCTAGGTATTGTGGTGCTCATCGCCTTCCCTAAGCAATCTATCACAACCCTGAGGAGGCACTTTGTGCACAATAATGTAATTAAAAACTATATGTGTTGCAGAGCAAATTAAGGATTTCACAGATTTCAAAAATGCTGGCATTTATTCAGGCTTGAGAGCTCGATTTTGCAATTTTAGAAATAGGGCTATAGGTTATTCTTTGAGGGCCTTTAAACAAGAAGAATTTTCAGGCCAGTAACCCACTGATGCCCTAAGGTGTCTTTTTGTGGCTACATCACAGACTGTTGCCATCTGAGCCAGCTCATACTACAGATAGTTGCACTCCTTCCATTTTTTTTACCATTAGATGTGAACTGTGCCCTCCAACAATAATACATTTTGCACATTTCTCTTAATAGGCACTTCATTGCAAGGCCCAAGACCTCTGGGTTCCCGTTAAGGCTTTGGAGCAAAGTATATTTCCCTGGGACCCAAGACCATTTGTTAATTCCTTCCATCAAGCCTAACCTTTCCTTCCCTTTCAAGTCCAGCATTTGAGCAAGGCCTTGTGTTACAGCCCTGACTCCTGCCTGTGTCCCCACGAGCACTGAGTCCTTGGCCATCATTTAACATGCAAATATCACTGCAGTGAAATTTATAGGGAAGCTGCACTGTGTTTAAATGGTAATTTGGGCTGTATGTACCTTTTACTAATCTCATCTAGGAAACGCTGGCAATCTAACTCTCTGTCCACACAAACCACCAGAACGCTGTACAACTCAGATCCTGAGACAAACAACCTGTTTGAAAGCCTTCTTCCTACAAATTAAACCCAAAACTTAGACTTGGATTTTAAAAACAAGCTCTTCATTGATCAGGAATACTGCTGTCCATTATAAGCTCAGCTCTTCTCAATATTTACTGTAAGAGTACTGGTAACACATCAGTATCAGTGATTATTCACATACACAGAGCACTAACATAATACTGCTGAATGCTTTTTCCTCATTTTCTCTTGAAATGTTTCATGCATGTCATAAGGCACGCTAGAAAAGCATTAGTAAACTTTTTTTAAAATCCCCTAATTTTTAAGAAATTATTTAATGTTGCCATTGGAATAATTTCTTCCAATTCTGCTCTTTCCTGATACCCATTGTATGGTCAGGTAAGACAACACCTTATACAGCCAGAAAATCTTTAATAAAAAGTATCAATAAATATAAAATAGTTCTTTAATAAGCTTTTTTGGGGGTAAAAGACCATTGGAGAAAAAATAGCTTCATAGCTAATCTGCAAAGGTTTCAGTGTATTTTAAAATTAATGCATTTAGCTTCTGACCCACAATACCTTAGAGAAAAAACAGAAAAGCAGTAATGTCCCCTAAATTGTTAGGAGTCAATGCCTATTTATTTTATTTTTCTTAGGCATGACAGATAATAATAATTTCATAATATGACAACAAAGCAAAAAGGTTACAATTGACTAGTAGATAACCTGTTGAATGTATATTACAGTGTGATTTTGTAGCTGGAAGAATGACTATGATTCCTAGAAGAATAAGAACATACATTTTTTGTAGAATAAAAAGGAGACGCTGGAGTTACTGTCCTTTTCACAAAGCCATTGCTGCAAAGAGCCCAGTTTGCGTTCCTGCCTCCAAACCCTTTGGGGAAAGAATCACTGAAGTTCTCCTAGCCTGAATTCACTCAAAATAAAGGAAATCTGATCCATTGACCAGTTTAGTCTCAGCATGCAATGTGAAAAAGGCACCTCACAGCATTAGCAAAGAGCTTACAAAGGGAATTACTTGATAAACAGCATTATAAAGTTTGGGTTTTCCTTCTGCCCTAGACTAGACTCTGAATGACACCCAATCATTGGAAGATGGAGTCAGACTGGAAACAAGATATACTAAATTTTAAAACTAAATCTAATACAACACAAAAGCACAAACGGCTTTGTTGGTTTTTCTCATAGGTTATGACTCCTGTTAACATTACATCACAATTCAAAAGCTGTGGGACAGAGATCTTTTGTGCTACATTTGCAGAAAACAAAGCTAACACAGCAGTCACAACTGTTACTTCTCTTACACCAGAAGTTCTTTTTCTGTAGTTTTAAACAGGAAAAATTATTCTTGGATCACTGGCAGAGCAAGCTCAAGAGGTCCAGTCCAAGCTGTCCTGTCCAAGAAAATACACTGTGTTTTATTTGGAACTGGCCTGTGAGGTTAGAACAACCCAAAGAGCAGGTATTGTAGGCGATGGCCTCTGTTTGAAAGGGTTATTTGCTGTAATATTTGTTCTTTAAACAGTTTTCCAAACACAAAGAAGCAACGCCAGGTGGTGGATCACCAGCATTATTCATCTGCAATTCAATGTTTTCCAAAATTTTAAAAGCTCGACCAGTCTCCTGAAAATTGACCAGTCTCCTGCTATAATCCAAGAGTAATAAAATGTCGTAAAAAATGGCATATACTTCCAGGTTTTAGGGTTTTTCCCCCACTAGAGACAGGGTTTTCTAAAAATCCAACACTCTTAGCAACTTCTCTGGGGTTTTTTGTCTCTGGTTGTAATTTGTTTAATTGGCCAGTAAACAGAATTCATGAGTCTGCAAAATATATTGCTTGATTGATACTGGTGTAGAGAGAAAGAAATTTAGAAAAGCAACTATGTCACAAGGCAGAGATGGGGAATGTGTTTTTACTCTCTGATTAAGAGATCTCCAGGAATCCAACACCCTTTCCATTTGCTTTGGTTACAGAGCAGACAGCAGACAAGTTCCACCAAAGACGACATAGAGCCCTTTCTGTGCATCATCCTGCCTGCCACCATGATGCTCTTCCTGGCATTCCTGCTGCTCTTCCTGTACCGCCGCTGCCAGCGCCCCGCTCCGCAGGGCCAGATCTTCAGCATCGACCTTCCCGAGGCCCTGCCTGAGCACGACGGGCCCCACTTCCTCTCGGCCCTGCCCTGGAGCAGCGAGCAGAGCTTCCACTACTCCACGCTGGTCCCCGACGCCACCTTCCTCTCGGTGTGCCTGCCTCCATCCTACGAGGAGGCCACCATGAAGGCTTCCCTGGAGGGGGCTCGCGCTGAGGCCTCTCCAGACCCAGTGCCTCCCTATGAAGAGAGCAGCAGCACCAAGTGAACTTCCCACGGAAGGAGAACCTTAGCCGAAGCATGCAGCACAAAGGTGGAACTGCTCTGGCCTTTAAGATTGGTGAAATGTTTCCAAATGAGGCACAAAACCAATGAATTTATGAAGGAAGAAACTTGAAGCAACAGGGACTGCGTCTCTTCACCTCATCCCAGGATTCCCTACCTTCCATTTGTGGCAAGTGTGCACACGGTGTGGCACCAATCCAATTCAGACTGGTAACATGGGGATTCTAGTTCACAAACATGTCGCGCAAGGATTAAACTTAAGGAAAGCTGGGAAGCTCTTCCTCTGTAATCCCTCAGCTACAATGAAATGTCAATAATGCTATAGATTCAGCAATCACAAAAAGGGCTTTTAGCACATACATATTCCAGTTTGGGTTGTTGTTTTGGATTTTTTATTTTTATTTTATGCATTTATATTTAAATGTGTTTTTGCAAGCTGAGTCGCTCAGTCTGTGTGTGTTTACATCACATCATTCTGCAGTGCTCTGGAATGATCACAGCAGCTCTCAGGAAAGCAAATAAATATATAACCTCTACAAAATTTCCAGTAACCGTCCCCAAAGGTTCAAATGTGCACTGTGAATAAAGGCTGTCTTTTCTCACAATTGGACAATGAGGACAAGCAGCAACCAGGGAAGACCTGATTGTTCTGGGTGAGGAAGCCTCCATGTAAGAGCACCCACAGTCTATTGCTACAAGCTGCTTGCCAAGGTCTGCAAGGTCCCAACATTCCAGACTACTCAGCTGACTTCTTTTACAAGACTAAAAAAATAAACCATGTGACTTACTTGGTGCAGCGTGTAAAGGAGTTGAGGAAAAATTAATAAAATCAAGTGCACCAAAAATGCCCTGGTCTATATTTCAAAACAGCATTATAATCCCTTTCCCTTCATCCCTAGGGCAGGGTGAGGCTGGTTCAAGCGTGCTGGTGGCAGTGGTTTAGAGGGTTTGCACATGCTTTCAGAAAATTATGTATGTCAACTTTAATTCTTTCTTACAGGACAGCATTTTCACCAAGTTGATAGATGCTCTTGTTACAGAAGGTGGTTGCTACAGGTCCTGACAGCCTCAAAGGTTATGCTGGCAAGGCAGAGGCAAATGCAGTGCCATGGAATAGCTGACACCTGCAAGGAAGGATCTGTTGTAGCAGCTGGTGCAGCCTTGGTGTAACTTACAAACCCAAAGGCTTGCACTTGGTGATTTCAGCAGCTGCCAGGAGGTGTCAGTAACAGCCAGTCCTGCTTTAGGAAATTAGCATGCTCCTTAAAAAAACCCAACAAAAACCACAATAACAGAAGAAAAGTCCTCACTGTACAGCAGAAGAAAGGCCACTTTAGAGCTGCAAGGTGGTTGAATTCTGTGTTATGTCAACAGTGACACAATCACAGTAACCAAACAGTCCATATCAAAACTGATGCTCCACTCATACATTTCTCTTACAACGAGGAAAAAATATGCCTTTTTATTTAGAAAAAAGGGTTATTTTCTTGAACTACAAATTTGAGTTAATTCTTTTTCTAATATTCTGAACTGAAGCAGCAGATATTTTTGAAAACTCCAAATTCAATCAACCATTTTTCTTCTCAGACCATATCTGGGAACAGTTCCCGGTATTTGCTGATGTGTTTGAAAGTACCATATTCTAATTCCTCCTCACATTTTCTTTACTTCCTTAATATTTGGTACATGCAGTTGTTTCTAAGGAAAGCTGGAAAAATACAAAAGCCCCAAACAATGTACCTAAATGGAAAGATGCAAAGGTTTGAGGCTCAAAGATAATATTCCACTAACTTCAGGAGAATTGTATGGATATTCTTGAAAACTCACACATTGTCATATCAAGTTGAATATATTTTGCCTTAAGAGATCTTAAGAGATCTATTGTGTTCTGAAATGAGTTATGCTGTTCTTCAGCATAATCTCTTATTTACCCTTCACTTGGGTGGAGCCTCTGGGCTCATCATCCTAAACTGCTCTCAAGTTACCTTGGTTACAGTTCAGAAAAATTTTGACTGCTATTTCTTGTGACCAAGACTGATATACTTCTATAACTAGTTGAGAAATGCTATTCTCTGCAAGAATATAGAGAGTGATGGTGTTTCATGCAGTATTTATTGGACAAATCTCAAATCCTGCTTTAGAGAAATAGCTTTGATTGTTAGCATTGCTAAAGACAATAAAAAACAGACACTTGCTCAAATCCATACTAACAGAAACCCTGCCATGACTTAAATTCTTCCTTCCAGTAAACTGCTTTTTATTCCATCTGGAATTGGCATCCCTTATCTCATTCCAACACAGATTTATCTAGTCTTGTATGTTAATTGTCCCTGTAGGTTTCAATATATGCGGAATCTCTACTCTTAAATCTCCACCCCAAAGAGATGGCCCACCAAAAAAAAAAAAAAAAAAAAAAAAAAAAAAAAAAAAAAAAAAATGTTTCTCAAGCAAATATCCCGAAATTAAGTCTCCATTGCCTAGAAGCTGCCTCTGATCCTGTCAGGCTGTGCTACACACATCTCAGCATCCACCAGGTTACTGCTGTTGGTGTTACTGGTTGTGGGGCAGCTTTCAGGTCCTCTGGATCCACCTTGTGCATCAAAGCAGAGCTTTGTGAAAAGATTTCAAATGAGGCATAGAACCAATGAATGCTCCCTCAAAGCAGAGAGCTCATGACCTGAAAGGAACTCCTGCCTGGCAATAGGAGCAGCCATAGGTACAGTGGGAAGATCTCCCATTTTTCAGCTGCAGTAATCTGAAAGGGGAAGGTTTAGAGCATCCCATCTAAAAGAAAGATGTTGGAATTGGGGCCATAAAAAAAAAACCAATAAAAAAACAACTGAGGAGAGACATTAAGTTTTCAATTACATAAAAGGTAACTGCAAACACAGTAAAATAGGGACACCTCCTGCCTACAGCAATCTGAACTGGTGGAAGTGATTTTAAACTGAAGCAAGATTAAATCAGAAAAGAGATCTATAAAAGCGAAGTGTAGGCTGAAAGTGCAGTGAAGCAGTGGCAGCACCATCTCTGTTCACACTGAGAAGGTAGACAAGTGTCTCTCCAGTATGATGAAGGCTCCTGCTTAGAGCAGAGAATGGATTAGATGTCTTCTCTGTGTCCTTTCCTGTTCCTATGCCCTAAAGTTACACCAAAGTAAATTTTGTTCCTTGTTTCCAAATTATATGAAACAAGGAACAAAATTTAAATTTCTTTGCTTCTTTGAAAATTTCTTATTATGATATTTCATGTGCAATGTTACAGAAATTACTGTAACATTGGTATTGTATTTTATAGCCACATGATTCTTTTTCTTCTTTTTTTTTTTTTTTTTTGTTTAAATCTTATATCTGCTAGTACACATACAAATTATGAACTCACCTTGATGGGAAGGGTAATTGTAATTCATTTTTCTATTATGAAAATACTAAGGAGCACTGATGAGATTAATTATGTACACACTACCCCTTGTTTATATTTAGTAGGAAATTATGCAACAATACAGGCCCTTTCATTAAGGGGGTTCACAAGCTTAGAGAGCAATCTCTGTGCTTGTCCTCCCCCTGAGAGCTGTCAGAATCTCTCACCATTCATTGTTCTGCAGAGCAAGACAAATACACACCCTGCACACACGGCAGATTCTTGATCAAAAGACATTTAATGGAAAACAACACAGGTAATTTATACAAAATATTTCTTCTAGATAGCCACTGAAAGTATTCAGCATGTATCTCTGATAATGCCACAGTGGTTTCATATTAATAGAATATCCTGCCTGTCTCATTTTAGCCAAAGGAAGAAAGGATGACAGAGCTCTTTGCAGCCACTGTGGGATCGCAGACAGCAACATCTCACATAAAATTGATGCATGCTTCTGCATAGATGGAGCATTTGGCACCTGATCTTTGCTGAACTTAAAACTAACTCGTGACTCATTGCCTTGTACTTGCCAATGATAAAATGTGCTTTTCAAAACACAATAGTCATTGCTTGGCATTGTGAAGTAACCCTTGGTCTAGAGAAGGCACAATAAGCATTTCAGTGCCTACATTTCACTTCAGAGAGATCCTCACCTGTAACAAATATCTTGACTAGAAATCTAGAAACCCAACTGAAGTGGAAAACCCTTTGGAAAAAGAAAACCAAACAAACCCCGACAGTATTTCTTTATGATAGTTCCATAATATCGCAGAGGTCAAGAAAGAACTATTCTCAAAATAAAACTCTTTGCTTAAAGGATCCATGCTTTAAAGGATTTTATATGGGTTCTTATGGGAGCAAAGCCTCCAAATGCAGACACACAACTACTTTTGCTAGTACAAACTCCACTGGCATGAACTATATATGCTCCAGTAGTGAAAACTCCTACAAATGTATGTTTTATCAATAGAAGAAAGTGAGTGTGCAGTCTTCTTAGGACAGTAATTTTATTTAGGTGAGGGAGTTTTTTTCTGATGTTGCTTTTTTGCTGGTTTTTTTTCACAAATTTTCAAGAACAAACATTGCACAAAACCATCAGATAAAGATAAGCTGAGTGCTTATGGCAAATAAATTATTCACTGACTCCTCTCTCAAAAACTGTCATAAGTGAAACAGCTATGAATTTTTAATTATGGAATTTCTTAATTTCAGTCTGTTTGTAAATAATCACGCCATGCCCGTGACTTTCATCACAAAGCAGTTCCATTCATCACTTGGAAAATGAGGTCTTGTGCAGAGCAGGAGAGGGATGTGAGTGTGCAGTCCAAGGAAGGTGTCCTCTGTGACAAAGACAACCTGCCATTCTCAGTGGCATGGCTAGCAAGGCTGGCACAGCCCATAAATCAGTGCTGCAGACACCTGGGTGTGGGTGAAGACAGCAAAACCTCATTGAACGCTCTGGGATACATGACTAGGCTGACAGCAGTGAAAATGTGCTTTCACAAGCTTTTCATTAAAAAGGTAGAAAAATGCCAATGTCTTTCATGTTTGTTGAGGGGAGAGACTCAAACTTGTCTGTTAGTTTGGCTCCATCAGTTGTTTTACTTCTGATTTTTCACAGGAATATCATGTCTATGAGAGCTTACTGTCAGAAATTAAGTTTAAGGAAGAAGCAGCAATCAAAACCGTAATACTCAGAATTTCATAGAATCAAATCATAGAATCAATGAGATTAGAAAAGGCCTCTAAGATCATCAAGTCTGACTTCTAGCCCAGCATTGCCATGTTCACTGCTAAAACATGAAACTGACACATCTACATATTTTTTGAATGCTTCCAGGGATGGCGACACAGCCACTTTCCTGGACAGCCTGTTTCAATGCTTGATAACTTTTTAGTGAACAAATTTTTCCAAATGTCAAATTTAAACCTTCCCTGGTGCAATTTTTTCTCTCTTCTTGTCACTTTTTACCTGGGAGAAGAGGCCAACCCCTACCTCACTACGAACGTCCTTTCAAACAAGTTGTGCCATTAGTATCATATTATCATATCCAGCCCTTTTTACATTCGTTTGTCACTAGAATGTCAGCATTATTTTATTCTGGAATGATTATTCTTGTTAATTTTTTTCTTGAATGCTTACCTTAAAACTCTTCAGACATTTCCCTCTGTGACATAAATAAATACTTCAAAGCAAGAGAGCACAGACAGGCAATCCTCTCCAGTCATGTCAGGCACCTACACAGGTCTACCTTTTATTTTATGTTATGTTTAGTTATTTTAGTGTTTTGGATTCTTATTTTGGTTTTTTTTCCAGGTTCAAACAAAGAGAACTGAATGTATGGTTTTTTCAGTTCTTTGAATACTAACGAAGTGAATTCCTTTAGTGGCCTTCCAAGCACAAAGCACAGGAAGCAAAGCCATACTCTTCCTGCCCTACACCACCAAGTACCCTAAAAGGAAAGGAATGTGAAAAAGATCACAAATCAGGATGATAAAAGGTAAGAGAAATTCCCATCCAGAAATAAGCCTCTCACAAAATTGCTTTCTCCTCCCTGACTTCCTATTTTTCACTTCTCTCTCCTTTGGCTTTATTTTCATTTTCTGCCAACTATCTAAAAGACAACACAGAAAGAAAAACTTCCTCCACACACGGACCCATGGCTGTAGAGAGCAAAACTGCCATATGTTATGTTCCACTGTAATCTGGAATATCTGTTTGTGATTATAAAATGCTTTGCACAAAGTCAGTTTCCACTGCAGGTAAACCAGACAAATTCAAACACATTTCCCTGCTTGTGTACCAACAACATGCCAAATAATTGAAACAGTACCATTAAAAATTCAGCATGTGTTTAGTTCTGTGGCACTTTTACTTTTTATTCTGGTTTGGAAAACTCACAGTTGACCACACTCTCAGATGTTAGTATGGTCTATGGTTCTTCAGAAAATCTGTACACCTATGTTTTAGAAAAATAACATAGACTTGATGGGAATTAGCTTATTTATAAACCCTGTCTTAACTAACACTCACCCCTTTTTCACTTCTGTTAATGATGCAGAACCTAAATATTTCTTTATAATAGACTGATTTCTAGTGGTTTCTAGCAGCAAAACATTGCGGTCATCAGGAACTAAAAAAATGCTGCTTTCATGCAATGAAAGGGAAAAAAAAAAGGCAGATCCATTAGCACAGCCCTTCAGTGTCTGGCTGCATCAGGAAGATCAAAGCAGACAGAGGACATTATTTCAGAGACACAAGAAGCCACACAAGTACAGTCCTGTCTGGCACAATTCTGGGGCTTTCACAGTGATTCTTTTCCACAGCATTACCAGAAATCATCACCTGGAGAAACAGCACGGTGCTACATGACAGAGGAGCCTGGTGTCCCTGGTGCATCACTGGTGGCACCTGAGGGTTGGCATCGATGGGCTAGAGGTGCCAGGCTGCACAGGAGGTGCTGCACCTCTCCCTGTCCCTGTGCACGTCCCCAGCAGCCCCAGCCCTGCCACTGCCACCTGTAAGAGGGAAAGGCTGAGTGGTCTCAACCTGCCCAGTAAGATCTCTACTGGAAACAAAATAAAATCATCAAGGTGTTTGACTCTTAAAACATTTTTTTTTAATGAAAGTAGCAAGTTAATACGCTGGTCACATCTAGATCTGCGTGCCAGTTTTTATGGCAGACTCTATAAAAGAGACACAAAGTAAATTCTACTTTTTTTCTCTAAAAACAAGGAAATAACTACTGCTTGATATTGCATTTTATACTTTGCAGATCATCCTGTAAGTCAGAGGGCTTATTTTCTAATCCATTATTCTTTATCTAGCTCATGCATATCTTATTTTAATAATGTAAATAGAAATTGTAGGGATGGCAGGCAAGGTAAACTACAAGCATGAAGTATGCCCAGATACCATATCTGAGAGCTCCACATGAACAGCTCTCTCTCTTTAGCTGACATCACTTCAAAAGATTATCACCTCCTATACATTTTCACAATTATCTGGACTCTTTTCAATTGCCCACTCCAACTACCAACAAATCACACAGTTGTTGAAGGCACTTATTAACTTGGTTTGTGCAGTTTCATTTATTAACAGATTTTCTGTTTTAGCTGGGACTGAGTGCCAGGAAATATTTACACTACATGCATTCACTTCCAATAAATACCATTTTCTACTTTTGTTAGAAGACAAAGAATATTTCCAGAATGGTGTGCATTTAGAGCAATTATACTGATTTTTAAAGAGCTGAAAAGAAATTTTCATGATAATGACAACCTGCTTCCCTGACCCAAGTTATGCTGGGCATCACTCCCAGCTGCCAGAAGAGGGGAGCTTGGCAAGGCCTTCTCTCCATTAGGTAGCTTCCCATCACGTTTAACAGACAAAAATATTAAATTCCCAATTTTGCCAGGACTGGTGAAACTGGGCACCAGAACATTCAACAGCTACTCTGAAGGAGGTTGGATTTCACTGCTGATGGGCCTTGGAGAGTTTCCAGCAATTCCTGTTCATCTGGTCCCTTGTCCCAGTGCTGTACCAGCCCTTTTAAAAGTCATACATGTTTATTTAGTACTTCTTAGAAATTCCCACAATAGTAGCCAGCAACACAGACTAGTCCAACTGGTATTTTTCCAGCTAACACTGTTTCGAACCATAATTTTTGGCAAAATACATATTATTCTTTAACCCTACAGCCTCGCTCCCAGTTTGTGACAGCTCCACAGCAAATGTCCCTTTCTGCTCTGCCCACAGCAGCAGCAGAGCTGCCAGTGCCTGAATGATGTCTGGCTCCTTGGGCTGGTGTGGGATCAACTGCCCCAAATGGCACTGGGGCTTCTGATGCACCTGTCAGGAGATGTTCTCCTGCATCCCCCAAGTTTCTGGAAATGAGACTGAACTGCCAAAGCCAGCCAGGAGCACCAGGGTTACAACACAATAGTGCTGGACCAAGTGGCAGCTCCATCCAGAGACCCCAGTGACAGTCCAAGAGCTCTGTATTGAACCATTAAATGTCTGGCAGATCAGCACAGCTGTAAATATTTAATGGCAAGAAGCCTGCTCAGAGTAGACAAGCACTTACTCATTTTTGTCTCAGTTTCCTTGCCTAGGCACTCTGCAGAGAGGGGACAGATGGCCTCCCAGCCCCATCAGTGTTTGCTCCTGTGTCCCCTACCTGTGCACCTTCCTCAAGGGGCACCTGTGGCAGGCAGACACCCTGATAACAGCCTGGGCAGGTACAGGGCCTTAGAGATGGCAAAAGGTGAGTAAAGTATACATAAAAGGGTCAGGAGTGCTTTTTCCAACACCAAGGGAAGAGCCTGGACATGCCACCAGTTTCCTAGCAAGGCTCCCCAAGTACCTGCTGAGTTCTGCAGGTTGCTGCACAGCCACGAGGCTCCATCAGCACAGATTACCTTAACTCCCTAAACACAAAGCTGCAGCAACCCAGAGGGAGATTCACAGTTCTGGATTTGGAGCCTTGCAGACAGAGGTAATTGGCAAACATAGAATCCACTGCTGCCCAGTTTTAACCCAGAGCCTCCACACAGCTGCCAGCCAGGGCACCCTTAATCCAGCTGCTGGGTCAGTCAAGGGCACAGGAGATAATGGGCAGTAGCAGCCCTTACAGCAGGCAGCTTAAGGACAAGAATGAAAAGCAAAGGCTTTAGAGTCACACCCTGCTCAACAGAGGCATTTTTCACAACTCTTTCTACTTTCCAATTTCTTCCTCTTGAAGAGGCCTGGAAGTTTTGCATCCTCTGGTTCCGCTCCTCACACCACTTGGAAAATTATAATGTCAGATTAAATGTAATTGGTATTAAATAATAAAAAATGATAGGACAGTTTCTATACTGTTTAAGGCAACTTGAACATTTGACCTACATACTTGATTACAACCATTTTGAGAGGATTTAAATAGCTGCTTTCTATTCTGTACACAGGCTTTCTTCAGCTTTGATATAGCTTCCTGAACAACAAATTTTTCCTGGTATGATATTATGAAGGCAAGGATGCTTCCAACAGAGGGAATTACTTCTGTTCTAGGTCACAGTCAAAAAACCACAAATAAATCTTGTAACTCAACAAATTCAAAAGTATTTAAAAGTACCTGTAGCAAACAATATTTGCCATGGGAAAACAAGATGCAGCATTACAGATGTCCTCAAGAGCAACTGCCTCTTTCATCCTGCTTTTCCAAGCTCCCTCACAAACTAACTTTAACTTGTAATCAGATTTCACCTGTGGCTTGTTTTCTGCAGAACAGTCAAGGGGTTCTCAGCACTTAAAGGAAACCTTAAGCAATTGTTGTACAGCCAAAATTTAACCTGGTTAGTCTGGCCAGTTTCAATTAGGGGCTAGTGCTGCTCCAGACTTTGACTCGGCTCTACAACCCAGCCTAGTCTTCCCAATCCCACAGGGAGCTGTGTCTTTTCTTGTGCCCATCTGTGAGTAAGCTTAGTGCTTCCCAGTTCTCTGTGAGGAGAAAACAAGTGAGTTGAATAAAGACCCCTTAGGGACAGGAACATCTTGTTGTGACAGGAACATCTGAATCCTTGCTACTGTTCTGTAGCAAGCATTCAGGATTAGTAGGGACCCTTCAGATGTACTTCCTTGGGTTCATCTAAAGGAATGAACCTTGGATTGGTCACAAGGAGCCTGCTTTGTAGCTGAGAAAAAGGGTGTGCTGGGTAGCGAGGTTTCCTCAGAAAACTGCTTTAATGTACCATGATTGTGCTGCATGGGGTCTGAGTCTGTTCTCCTGCTGGCTTTTCCATCCTGTGAGATCTGTATGAAATCAGGTAATTTCAGAAGCATAAAGTTTCTTTCAGTTTCATGGAAACTCAAATTTCAATGGAAGTGACTACAACACTGGGAAGGACTGTAGTATTCAGCTTTTGTAAGACACTGAGAAAACCCACATAGAAGAAATTCTCCATAAATATGGTGAAAATGTTATTGCAGTGGGCCCTCTGTGATGCAGCAGAGAATCCAACAAGTCAAAAAAGGTACAGAAAAACTGGTGTTTGTACTTTGCTGCCCTCATAACTACAGCAGAACAATGAAGTTATGATAGATTTATTTGCAGAATTAAAGGAGCAAATGCAGACTTTGAACATGCCATAGAGAGAGATGCTTTCTTGAATGCCACACTCTTTAGCTGATCTGCCTAATTTCTATGTGCCATTGAGCTGTTTTTACCCACCTGATCTTCTGAAGGAATGACAATATTGGTGGTGCCCCAATGAGCCTGGTGCACATCCAATCTGCATCCACCTTTGCAGTCTTCTCTTAATGCCACTCAAACACCAGAAAAATGGAATTAATCTCTTGGAATTTGGTATCTTTGCTGGAGAAAGAGGTGAAATGTGCGGGTCTGGCAGGTGTGGATTAACTTGTGTGGTGCTGTCAAATGGTTTGTGTCCCTACAATCCAAATGGAATCTCCAGAATAATAAACTTGGATAAAGTACCTACTTTCCTGCATTAGGGAACTAATTATTCACTTTCATCAACTAAATCATGTGCTGCCTAGAGACAAAACCTGGTCTGAATTAGCCTGCAATACAGCAATAGTCATTACCCTCCTACGATAGGCATTCACTGAGGTAATTCTCACACAAAAGCTCACATTTTTCTTTTTTTAATCTGACCAAGGCCACAATCAGATTACGTATTACCTTCTATAGTCACATATTTTCCCTGCTTGTTTGTGCGAGTCAGCACAGGCAGGACCCGGGAAGAACCACAGAAACACAAAGATGACATTTATTTCCCTTACCTCACCAACCAGGGGATCCCCAAAGCAGCAGAGGCACACAGGAGGGACACAGGCACCACAGAGCTTGGGCAGTGCTAGGGGATCACCAAACCTGCTGTCCTTGCCTGTTTATCAGGGATCCACACAGGCATCTTACCACCGTGCTTTGATCTTTCCTGAAGCAGAGCAGGAATCTCAAGCATGTGTGATAGGGTGCCTCTGAGTCTCTCACAGGCTTATGTTATCTAAACACAGATGTTCTACTTGTCAAACACACAAGGCTAAACAACAATTAGTATGATGTATGTGTTTTTCTACACCCCAGCTGCAAGTCATTCCAGCGTGTTTATAATCCTCCTCACCAGTCTTCTGCTATTATCCCATGTTGGTTCTTCACATCACAATAAAAACATTGTGCCAGCAGGAGCTAGGGAGGGGAGGGAAGGGCTTGAACAGTTTGCAAATGTGAAGGAAACAAACTGAATCCCACATTCCAGTATCTTCTCAGAGTTACAGGCCGCTAAAAAGCAGAATTGAAGACTACCAGGTAAAATTTAAGATTAATATCCAGTGTTCCAAATTAGGCCCTATTTGATGGAATTCTACTTTTGAGGTAGAGTCTCTCAGGACATCAGGCTCTTAAGTGCAAATCAAGGTGTGCAGCCAGTTATCTTACCAATTTATCTTGCCAGTCTGTTCATTGAAAAGCTGTTAAATATTCGCTGTCTTCTGTCCTAAGGGCCACCTGTTTTCCAGAAGACATACCAGGATCACAGCTTGATGCTAGCAAGGTGTTTTCTGTTGAAATACCTGTTGAAAGGGTACTGCTAAGGCACTCTACAAGAATTAATAGAAGACATGGTTTATCCAAAGGAGGAGAAGTCCAACAAACAAGAACAACAACCAGAATTACTTTTGAGCAAGGCATTTCAGTTTATTGTCAAGACACTTTCTTCCCTCATTTGTCAGCAAGTATTTTAGATAATTTCTAACATGGACTTCCAGCTCAAAGAGGTCACAATTTCCCAGACCCTGGTGATCATTTGAGAGAGCAAGTTTGTGGCACAGAAAGTAATGTTTTAGATTCTTTGTTCCCAAACCCCAACATGGCTCCACATGAGATTGTCACATTATGCAAGAAACTCATCCCATGTATTTGATGACTACTTTGTTGCAGTCAGTCCTGGACTTCAAAGCTGCACTTCAGAAAAAAAAAAACTTTTGTTACACAGCTTGCTTGCCTTGGGTTGTGCTTAAGAGTCTAAAACCAGAGTACTGCTTGTGGTTTTTTTAACTTAGAAATAACCAATCAACTACTTTCCATGTTTCCACATGCCACAGTCTCAAATTCTGACCAATTTTGCAAGAAAACGCATGAGCAAATGGAGAAATCAGGCTTAATGTTCTGTGTTGGAATAAATAAAGGGCTGTCTCTTGAATATTACATTGAGGTACTTTTTTTCCTCTGTGTATCTCATCACAAGAGACCTTTCTGTGGAATTTGTTTGTTTGATCTTTGCCCTAGAAGATCCAAGTGTGCTGTGTATGGGAATATGGCAACCTCATTTGGGATCACCAGTGGTTTGATACTGTCTATCCATGGCTTGCCAATGGACTTGAGCTACCTTAGACTCAAACTTGGACTTCTGTGCAACTCTGCATGACCTGTGCTCACAGCCACGTCTCCCTGGGCACCCATTTTCCTTCGGATCTCCTTGCTGAAATGTACTTTTGTTTTGTATCAGGACTCCACAAAAAAGTAAATACATTAAAATCATTATAATTTCCTAGTCTGTGACCGCTGCACTGACTACATAAACCTGGCCTTTGCTTTTTAAGTCCTTTGGACTACACTGTAGCTCCAGATGGCACAGCAATTTGCAAAATCACCATTTCCAGGCAGCACATTACAACACCCTGATTAAGGCAAGAAGGATGGGACCATGTCTTACTAAGGCAGCTTCTCAGCTGGTGATGCTGCACTGGGCACTGAATTCTTGTGTCATTGGAATGCTCTTTCCCTCTTTTAAACTGACCTAGAAATCAGAGGTTTTCCCCAAATTTAGTTCCCAAAGGCAGGAATTTGTGTGTCCATTTTCTGCAACTCAGTGTGAAGAGACTGCTGGAAAGAGCCTGTAATTTCTTCTGGAAAATGTACATTGAACAGATATTTGACTTTTAAAAAAGAAAACATTAGTGTTCTACCAAGATGCACATGAACAACATTCCTCCCCAGATAGCAGATAGTTCATGTAGTTTCTTCTATTCTTGTTTCCAGGATTTCATCTTGTGATGTTTTAGAATTTTTTGGTTTTCTGGAGATTTTTGTTTTGTTTTGTGGTTTTGTTTTCATAATTTACGTATTTTTTCCTCACAAATTAGTTTTTACCATCTAAACACAGAACCTAAATTTTTAACATTTTTTTTCCTAGAGGTAGTGAAAACGCAGAAACTTATTGCTACCTTATGTGTCCTGACAAATTTTTTTTTTTTTTCCTTCAGCAGCTAACAATTCTGGTTTTATACTGTAGGTTGGTGCACAAATAGACCAGAGTACTACAGACAGAAGCAACTCAGCTACATTGGGACTGGATTTTCTTCTCTATATACCTCCCCACATGCTTATACACACACATTTGGATTCACTATTAACAGACAATTTCCTACTAAAAATCAATGACATTTTCCATTAGCATTGTTGGGAGAAGCATTGATTGGCCCTTAAAAGGTTGGCTGCACATTATGTGAAAGAACCCAACTGCAAAGAGCTAAATTTGCAACATAAAATGTACTCAACATTCCGCCAGGGAAGCACTATCAAGGCTTTTATCCAGTTTTTCAGGATAATATATGACACAGCACATCTTTATCCAACATTTCTATATTTTACTCTGCTGAGTGTTTATTAATTCACACCAGTTATAACCACAGTCACAATCCAGCACTGAGTAGTTGCAAGATTTTAATGCTGTACTCAGATTTAAGTTGGTAACATCCCTTTAGAACCAAGAAAGTTATCCATTTTGCCTGAAGATTTTTCTAGTCTTGACCATGCAAGAAATCACTTTCAAAAGTTATTCAGAAAATTAAGTGTAACGGGGGAACTCACACAGCTACCAAGGGCATTATAAAGCTATTGTGCTCCCTTTTGTGAGTATTGAAGTTATTTTAAATAAAACATGTAAAATGATTCCTCATTCTCACTCTAAGTTATGTAACACACTGTTTTACCATTGAAGCCCATCCTTTTAATTCTCTTTTGGAAAAGCAAACAATGCATCATTTTGAATCACTCAAATGTACTGTGGCACTGGCTTTGTTTCAACAGTGACTGCTGCTACAAATGACTTTTCCAGAACTTTGTGGTATCCAAAGAATACCTAACAAGATCTATTTGCTTGCACTAGTATTAACACATTCATCCCTGTGCTGTCTGCAAGAGTGGCCTCTGTTTGCTCCAGGAAATGACTGAAGGTTTAGCAAGTTACCCCAATGCAAGTGTCTGTAGACCTGTACCCAGTACATTGGAAGCACTGGATGCAGAGTTGTTGGTAGAAATTAGACAAAATAAGTCTGAGCTTTGATCTTCCCAATCCCCTTCATTCTTTCCAGACTTCAGGCACAGTGGTTCTATAGAACCCTCCCAAAAGCTGTGCTTGGGCCACCTAGCCAGTGCTGCCTGAGGTCTCCTGGAGCACTCCTCACTCCAGCCTACTACTGCTTCTCTAAGCTCACCCAATTTTGCTCATTTTCCTCTTCTAAATTGTTTGGGGTTTTGGGTTTTTCCCCCCACGTTTGACTGACTTCAGCCTTCTACACCCTTTGAATTAGGATGAAACACATGGGCTACAATTTTTCTTCCTCCTTGCTGTGGCTATTCCATTGTTCCTTTGCCTTTTTCTCTCCTCTGTTCTTGCTGAAACTTCTTTACCATCTAGAATCTGCACTAGCCTGCCCAACCCATACCTTAATCTGTGCATTCACTGTACTTCTCAGTAATCTCCTTGCTTCCCCTTTTCTGCCAGCGCCTTCTTTCAGGCTGAGCCTTATGCAGGAACCAGCGTCCCAGTCCTGGTTTCTCAAAATCCTGTCTTCATCAAATTCACTTCTTATCCAAATCTTTTAACTGATATCCAGCAGCCTTCCAAACCTCCTCTCGCCAAGCTATTGCTCCTTGCATAACCTCCATCATTTCAATTAAGTTCTCCTTTCCAGTGTACAAACAGCAGTGAAGGCTTGTAAATGCCCCAGGGCCTTGTGAATGTATTTACAGATTCACAACATTATTGGGCTGCCTACATCTGACAACAGAACTTTGAACATTAAGGAACAAAACATGAAATGAGTTAATATATGGCAGAATTTAGAAAAAGACTGAAGCTGAAAACCATTCCCAGTAAAACGGACACCAGAAATAAATCTCACATCTAGCTTCAATAAAGATTCTTGTTTTAGAGGCAAACTGTAGACCAGCTGTAAACTCCAAACAAGCCCTGTGATACTATGATGCATTAAGCACCAGGATGACAAGTCTACTTTTTCTCTTCAGCACAACCAAGTCTGCATATGTGCCCTCCTCTCCTTCTGCTCTGGATGTCTTTAGAAGAGGCTTGCTAAATTTAATCTACACTTGTAGACCCATAAAACCTCACTGCAAAACCTCCCAATGGAGGAACATTATTGTCTAAGGAAGTAACTTTGAAGTTTTAAGTGTGACAAAATAATGAACCAGTTCTGCCTGTGGGGAGATGACATGGTGACATCTCTGTAAGAAAGTTACATCAGCTACCAAAGTAAGTGGTATTAGCACCATTAAATATATTTCAGCACACCTAAGGTATTTCACTACCTGTAAAATGTAGTCTTGTAGCAAGATCAGCAGGGCTGCCTAAACACTGTCTTCTGCACGTTAGCCAAAACACGAGCCTTAGCCCAAGTTCACCAAGTTCACCAGATGTGGGTTTTAGAGGAGCATCAAGGCTGTCTGTGCCAGAGAGGAAATTCAGCCTGGGCTACATTCAAGTTTAATCTCATCTACCTGCACTGACACCGTGCATGTAAGCCAGGCTTTTCTCAAGAGTTCCCTGCACAGCCCATAAACAACGGCAGCATCAGCTGGCCATCACCAGGGAACAAGCTGGCCATGCTCACCCCTACAGGCACTCGATGCAAAGGGCTGCAAATGCTGCAGGCACCAGAGATACAATTTTGCCCAGTGCATTCATTTTTCACTTAGATGATTCATCTTAGATTTCATCTGTAAACAATAAAGGAAGCCTGAGTGTTATTTATGACACACTGTCCTGTCAGGATGGGGGCACGAGGACTGGCTAGCATTTAGCATGGCTTTCTACAGGACAGCACCTGCTGTGAAAAGGACTTGGTCCTTTCATGTTTCATGAGATCAGCTGAGCAAGACAGAGCAAAGCAACACTGGCAAGATGTTTAGTGCTAAACACTCTACACTGCTACCTCTTTGTAACAGAATGTAGTTCAATATTAACAATATCTGAAACAATCTGCTTTATCCAGTTAGGTTTTATCTTAATTTTAAAAATCAAATGGTTCTTTCAATATAGTTATCATATGAAAATGGTAGAAAGTTTGCTGCACACCAGTTGATACACCCTTGTTCCACTGAGTGCAGCTGGATTCAATTTGTCCATTTCACTTCCCACTCACTCTGCTTATAATCTGGTTCTCCAAGAACTTTAGTTTTCTGGGACAGGTTGCAAGTAGGACAGAAGTAGTAGAAACACTCACATGACACTGGAGAAAGCTTAGGATTATTTAAATTTTTTTAGTCTCAGAACTGAGATACCAAAATGGGATGGATGAGTGAGTACACTTTAGTTGTGTCTAAAGTGAATTAGTAAATTTTGCAATGAAAACTGGAAATTAGTAGGTGGATGCATGGATGATGGCATTCAATGGGTTGCCATACGCTGTGGGACACATCTTTTGAAGGAGATTTTAATCGACTCAAAAGACAATATGGCAACTGGCAGGCTTTTACTTTATTGAAGCAAAGTCACAGCATTTTCAGCACTATTCCCCTCTTGTGAAGGGAAGAGTTAAACGAAGGCCCCTGAAATTTACATAACTAACAAGTAAAGGATTGAAGAAAGAGATTACAAGCATATTTCTCTAAAATAAATAATCTACAAAGAGTGCTTTTTCTTCTTAAAAGCAATCTAAAAATGTAAAAATTCTACGGTAAGGAGATCAAAAGATATTTTAACAACTTTCAATATTTACAAACAATACAAAAACTGCGCATGCCATCAAATGATGCAAAATTCTTATTAAAAATTAAAAGCTTCATTCCTACCAAGAACCAAAAACTCCAGCCAATATTTCAGTTTTAATTAATGGTCTTCTTTACAATTGGAAAACCGTTAAATGTTCTTATTATCTGTAAAATATACAATAAAAACGAACCTCACTAAATTATTAAGGTTAAAAAAGAAGAGCAATACTGCAGGCAAATCAAAAAGGAAAGTAACCGTAACTTATTCTTTGGTAACCAAAAGTTAGCAAGTATCTGTATTTCAAGTGATGCAAAGTAATAGTCTCCCCATTTTGACAAATGAAAGACAGATTTCCGGCAAAATACAATTCCCAAGTTTCAGTTTTGAAAGACGGGCTCCACCTACAGCTTTGTAGTGCAAGTCAAATTTCTCTTTCTAATTCAGAAACACAACTGTCCTGGTTCCGGCCAGGACAGGGTTCATTTTCTGCAGCAGCCAGACGGGGCTGTGGCCAGGACACAGAGGTTGCTCTACACCACCTCACAACGCTGCTGGGAACAAGGAGGAGGGGCAGCAGGTCACACCTTACTGGGCTCTGTCACCTGGGAGCCATTCACCTTTCTCGTGCACGCTCTAAGCGTTGTCACTGTTACTGTCCATTTTCTTACTTCACTGTTGTTTCCAGTGAATTTTTATTTTATCAGCCCCCAACCTTCACCTTTTGTGCCTCTAATTCTCCTCCCCAGCCACCCGCAGACGTAAGAGGAGAGGGGAGTGAGTGAGTACATGGTCTGGAGTGTTGTGGTGGAACACTAAATTGGGGATTACCATTCCTAAACCATGACAGCAACCCTTCCAAATTCTGGCTTCATTCATCTCCTACTTTCCTGATGTCTGCTTGCACCCTCCACATGCATCCAGCTGTTCTAGTTCTCTAAGGGAATACTCCAGTCAAGGAAGCAATTCACCGGGAAATGTGTGTTTCACCAAGTGAAGATGTGTGGCTGCACAGCAGCCAGTAGTGTGTTATAAAATCAGCTCCCTTTTCCACCTTAACTACACAGTTCATTTTCCCTCAGGAAAAAGAATTAAAAGTACAGTACCCTGGACCAATCCATAACCTGGTGAGCTCAGTGCTTGAGCAGGACATGCTTCATCAAACGCTGGGCCATACTCCTCCAAGGAGCCATGTAACCCCAGCATCAACCCTGCTACCTTCTCTCAGAGGTGAATGTGCCTCATTGTGCCTCCCTCTGCTCCACAAATGCACTACGCTGCATCACTACAATGCTTTTGAAACAAATGTCCAGCTTGTACCACAGGAGCCTTCGCATTTCAGGCTTATTCCCAAATTTTGCTTGCACAATTGCAGTCTTAAGAAAAAGAAAAACTTCACACCCCTACAGACTCTGAGAAAACTTCCCCACCCCACCCCACAAGAGGACTTCTAAGGCTTTACACAAAAAATTCAACTGTTAACATTCTTCAAGCCACAGACCACTCATTCAAAGCAAGTGCTCCCCATCCCAACCCAACCATGCAGAACCATCGTCGCTTTAGCATTTAAACATACACATGCAGTTTGTGGAATAAATGCTCAGCCAAATGCTCTTGTCCTGGTCTGGGCTTTCTTCTGGAATCTAGTCCCTGTAATTTTCTAGACTAATATCCAACGCCTTTTGTCACACTGCCTTTTAACTTTCTTCAGCTGAAGAGTTTAGATACTTCCTTGAAGCACCTGGTTGAGTCATTAAGTCTACATGGGCTGGATCCAAGGTCTCCTTGCAGCCTGCCTCCTCAGCATACGGGAAGTCATTCACATCCATTTCATCACTGTTAAATATATCAAGCTGCCCCTCTTGCTGCTCTTCCAAAGTCCTCCGGACCCTGCCCTCGGACTGTTCCACCACTTCCCCATCTCCTTCACTAATGACAGTCATGGGGCTGCTCTGGATGCGGTTGCGGACGTTGTACTTGCTGCTGGCAGCAGACGGGGGTGTCCGTGACCGGCCGTACCTCGTGCCAGAGAAGGACATGCTCCTTGGCATCAGGCCCTCACTCTTGGCCCACTCCTCCTGGGCCCGTTTGCTCTTGCTGGGCGAGCAGCTGGCAGGGCTGTCAGAAAGGTCAGCGGGGGCGTCCGTCTTCGGCCGGTGGAAGCGCGGGTCCGTGTTCTTCAACATCTCTGCTGCGGACATACGGGAACTGGTGTCACAGCGACTGCCTTTCTTCAGCAGCAGGGCTTTGAAGTTGTCATTGCTGGTGCTGCTCTTGCGAACGCTCCTCTGGATAGATCCGGCCTGTTTGAGGGTAGCTAGGTTTGGGGAAGCACCAGTGGGAGTTATGGGGGGCGACGGAGAATGGTTGCGGGTACGGTCGTCCTCAGAATCTTTACGGCCAAGGACTTTCCTTTTGGATCTGAGTTTGAAACACACACACAAAAAAAAGAGGATGACACAAAAATGAAAATTTTTACCTCCTCTAATTAAACTCAGTTTAGAGAGATGACAATGAATTTAAGCTAAAGCAGAGACAGGGAAAAGGGAGAAGTGATCTTAATCTAAAGCATGAGTAAGAACACCACCAGAACTGTACAGGCACTAATGCAGGTATTGAAGGTATACGTTTATTACTCTTTTTCTGCAGATCTGGAACAATGAAACTACTAAAACTGGCAATACTGATGTTCAAAACACTTTAGTAAATTTAGTGAATCGGGTTTTCTGGAGTCAATATTAAACTGCTCAGACTGATGTGCTATACAAATTTATATTCCATGCTGTTTTTCTGTTAATTTGGGGACTTGATTCAAAATACGTCATCTACAGTATATTTTGTTTTGTTTCATTTTACAATTTCACACTCTCTGGAGAATTTGAGGTGTAGTTTAGTTCACTTTCCTTCAGAAAAAAGGACACAGCAAAGCAAAGGGAGCCACATGTGACAATTCTAAATTAAATTATTGAAAAACCCCATCCCTAATCCAAATACTAAATAAATCGAGAAAAAACCTTTCCAGCTCCTCTCAATATGCACAGATAAAATTCACAGTTATGTTGGTGCTCTGTCATTGCAACTTTCAACTAAATGAAGGAGAGACCAACTTCCTGACAAGAAAGTTGTTATCTTTCCAAATGGAAGAGCGGAGTGTTTGTCTATTTAGATGTGAAGTGCAGGGACAACACACACACAGAAAAAAATTAAGAGATAACCATGGAACTGGGAATATGTGGAAACTGGACTTTTACTGCCTCATTTTCACATTTCTAGAAATCTTAAAGAAATGTACATGCCTAGTAGCTGTAATACAGCTGCTTTGTTTCTTTGCTAACTGAGCAAGAATTAATTTAAAAGGATTGTATAAAGCCTAATTTTAAATATGGTATTTTGGCAGAAGCTTAAAACAAGTCAACAGACTTCTTAGAGATATAAAATTATCATCCTATAAACTCCATTTTCATTTTTATCAAGCATGTGTTCAACCCAGACCATTCCCCTTGTAAAACAGATTTCTACTTAATGTGATCTTTAGCTTTACTTTCTTAAAAGCCTTGAGATTTTGCCAAGGCAAGCTCAAATGTGTTCATGCATCGCAGCCTACTGATAATTAAAAAACTCCTGAAAACAAAGAAGCAAGATCCATCAGCTGAGTAGGTGGCAGCAACAGACACTGCTATAGGCTGTGCCAAGACTTTGGATCAATCCAGTCTCTCCCCTAAGTGGTGAAGTTTATGCATAGCTCACTTGTGATGCCCCCACAGGCAGCTGCACCAGCTGTTATTTTCAGCAGCTGCTGCTGCCTCCACCTGTCCTTCTGGAGTAAGAATGTAATACCAATGTCCATTCAGCCTGAGAGTGAATAGACACAGAAAACAGCAAAGAGAGAGAATGATGACTTCAGGAGCAGCCGATGTGGGAACCTCATCTAGATTTAGCTGTGCCTTAGGCAGCCAATGATTTTGGTGCTAGGATGCTCTGCAAGTCTGTATGTGAACGTTTGTGTGCATTTGCTACAGGGAAGATTTTCCTTCATTACGGTTTTGGCTGCCTGTGGGTATCTTTAAACACTGCAGTGCTGGGGGCTGTACTGTTACCAAACCCCAATTAAACTTAAAAAAAGAAAAAATCAGTTGCAAGGATCTGCACAGAAAGACTATTATCGCAGCTTGGAGTGATCTGGTAAGACTGTGAATGCAGTGCAGAGCAGCCAGTTTGCTGTCAGCACCTAGCCAGCTTTTCTCAATATGTATGAATTATGGAAGAAACTTGAAATTAAGAACCAAATTTGGTTTTGGTGGCTTTTCAGACACAGACAGAATATATGTTCAAACAAAACTATGACTTAAAACTTTGGACTGTTCTTCCTGTCCTTAATGCACATACTACTAAATTTCTTATCTTGCTCCAAATTATACATTCAAGAGTGCCAATTACTGAAGTAGTATCTCTTAGAAACAGTGGGGGAAAACCAAAACTTTTTTTACTAATTAGCAACCAAGGAAGAAAGTGGTTAAAGTCCAAAGCCAGCAAAAGCAAGGTCGTAATAAAAAAATGCGTCAAGCAGTTCTAAGTATGTCACATCCAGTTCCATTGTCCATTTCCCCACAAACTAATGAATTACAAATATGTGCATATCACAGAAATCCACTCTCTATCTGCATACACAAAGGAGAATGGCTACTGGCCAGAATACCCCATTCTTAGGCCAGATTTGACACAGGTCTAGAGAGTGCCATGCAACATGAATGCAACAGATCGTTTTCAGAATGGCTCGTACAGGCCAAGTCCTAAGGGCTAATAGTAAATTATAAAAAGTCAGTATCATATACATGTAGTTTTTGTAAGGTCTGGAAAAGTCTTGTTTCAAAAAATGAAAAAACATAGTATCTGCATCCAGAATGCTGCAGCCTCGCAGCCGCTCTCTTCCCGTCCCTCATTCCCAACGCACAGCTGTGCAGACGGAGTGAGCGCCGGGATAATTCCCCACTCCCGGGCAGGAGACGGCCCCTCTGCGGCTTGCAGAGCGCGGCGCAGCCACGCGATGGCGCTGTCGCCACGCCCAGCCCGGCCCGGGCGGCTCCGGGAGCGCCGCTCCAAGGGACCCGCTCCAGGCTCTGCCTTTAGGATTCCTGTCCCTGGGGCTTTCTCGGGCTTTCTTCTTCCTCAGCACCTAACGTGAACAGCACATAAATCTAGCTGCCATTCGGCATGATTCTGTTTTCAAGGGAAATGAATAATGCCATTAACAATAGAGCCAGTACTGCACATTCCATTCATGAACCAGTTTGACACAAAATACCCGACCTCAGGCTGGATTATGGCAAATTATAATCCAGCGTTTGCCATATGTTTTGCCATATGACTGACATGTTGTGTTACTTGCCAGTTTCAGCCACGCTTGCCATGAAGCATTAGCGTTGAGCCTCTGTCCCAAACTGCACCATATAAGCAGCGAAGAGAGTAAAAAGAGATGGAGAAGAACGAGAATGAAAACAAAAAGATACACAGAAAAAGCAACAGTAGAGTTAATATGGCAGATTGAGAACAGTACAATAAATACTAGATGTAAATTGATATTTTAAAGGGCAAGGTATTTATAATATAATCTACATCCATTTAATCTGGTTTGGTTTAGTTCAGAATGGATTAAATACATTTATAAAACAGTAATATGCAAGTTCTTTTCCTCATCTTTTTCACATACAGCCTTAGTAGAAAGTTGATAAATATGTGCTTTCTGTTAAAAGCCATGACTGTTGTAATTGGGTGTTCAACAAAACAGTGTTAAATTTATTTCTGAGAGACCTACTGGACCTGACAGTAGAGGAAGGGCAGTTTCTACAGTACCTGTGAATGGCAGCAAAAAGATCCTCAGTAGTCCTTGGTCTTGCTGGTGTTGCCACTCCGTCTGTCTCTTCCCCATAACCACTGCTTGGCAGGAATGAACTACTGGCTGTGTCTGATTCAAACACCTCCACTACGCAAAGAGAACGAACAGCACAGTCAGTGTGTCGTGCGAACCCCACGGGCACACAGTCCTGAAACCAGCCCTTGCTGCCTCCAAGGAGAAACATCCGATGGACTGAGTGAGTGCAGCACTGACATTACTGTGATTTCAGATCAACGCTTGCTTAGGGAACTGCAGCGCGTGAAATACACGCGTGTGCTTGCTCACGCATAACAGGCAGAGAACAGTAACAAAAGAAAATTTGTAGCATTTCCACTAAAATGCAAAACCAGTATTAAGAGATTAACTGCTTTCATAGCATGCTTTAATACTAGCGTGGTTAAATAAAGCATCCTTTTCTTTCCATGTCTGCAACAATGAGAAGTCAGAAAGGAATTCTATGAAATGTCATACAATATTAATCAGATCCCTGCAACTTTTTTTGTTTTAGTTGTAACCATCACAGGAAGATCTGCC